TCTTTTAGCTTTAGCTGTCGGCTCTTTTACAAGCTCTTCAGATTTTTTTGTTTCATAATGACACCCACTTTGAAAACATGTAGCGTCACTGATGGGGTGAGATGAAGTTTGTGACAACACTTTCCTAAATGTGTGCAGGATATTTTCAGCTTAAATTTAAAAGACAAACATTGAATTTAATCTTAAAAAGAGAAAAAAACCCAAAAGTCTGCTTTCAGTTAACACTGACTTGGCACACTTTTCCTCTGTCTTGCTCCGGGGAATTCTGGCTCATACTTGTTTTCCTATCTGTACGCAAGATGTTAAATGTCAGGGAGGAAAATGTTTTCAGCAGAGAAAAAAACAGGATGAGGTGTGTCTCGGTGAGAATGTGCACATTAAAGACTCCTTTCACTCCTTTCTTTTTCAAATATAAGGCCTTACAGAGGAGGTTTAGCTAAAACTGAAAGTGTTGAATGTGAAACTTTCAAACACTGGAGCCTTTCACAGTCTGCATACCAAAGTGTCCTTGTGCAAGATACAGAAACCCAGAGTTGCCCTCTAAAGGATTCATTGTGGTGTGAATGTGTATGAATGTTAGGAAGAGGCATAGAAAAAAACATGCTTTTTTGAATAGGTATTGTTGTATAGAGTGCTCTGAGAGTAAAAAAGCACAATATAAGAACCAGCCCATTTACCATTTACAATCAAAAAAGATGTATATCTGGTAAAAAGTTGTAGGATTTCACATCAGGATGTACATGTGGGTACGTGTGAATGGTGAGATGCAGGGTGCTGTGGGGAGAGCGAGGCAGATAACTGCTACAGCTGGTTTTATCTCAGATCTGCTGATTACTTCAGCTGAGTATTGCTACTGTACCTGCATGTATACTGAAGAACAGAGAGAGATTTGATGGATATCTCCGCACACTCATAATAAAGCTCTGGCTGTCACCAGTGTAAGTGCAATTTATCTGGTGATGTACTTTCAAGCCAAGAGGCTCAGCTGCAGTGGATTATCTGCTATTTCAGGAAATATGTTCTTTATTCTCCAAACTTTGATGAAAATGAGCTTGTGCATAATAACCTGCAATAAACAGAAAATAAAATCAGTAGTTAGGTGTTGTTAGTTGCTTTAAATTACCCATATGCTACTATTTAGTATGCCAGTTTTCCATTTCACTTGTGTTTATAACACTCATCACGTCTTCCTCGTAGTCCTTGGTTCCCTAATGTTCCCTTTGGCCTGCTTACTTGTTTATCAGTTTGCTGTTTTTGGAATTTAGTCCTCGATTGTTTGCCTTGCTCTGCACGACCTCTGCGCATGAAGATTTATTTGGACTTTTATTCTGCCTCCTGGCATCCTGACATGTGTCCTCTTTCCAGAAACTGTCTCATAGTTTAGGAGGTGGAGCGAAGTGGAGGCCACAGCCCCTGCAGATTAAAGTCTGACCATCACAAACAACCAAAGAAAAGCCTGTTAGTGGGCTGTGCACACTGAACTGGAATTACATCAAGAAACTACATTTCTAACAGTTTTCTCTGTGGAACCTTTTCTCTGTGGCTTCTGTTCCCACACAAACACATTAAAGATTCAGTTTATTGCATTTATTTTATGGGCTTTATCAGCCATTAGGGATGAGAAAGATGATAAGAATTTTGTTATCGAATCGATAATTTTGTTAGAATTATTGTTACCACTTATTGATTGTCATTGGGATGGCTCTATTTTGAGAGTCACCACAATTACTAGGCAGTATATCAAAGACATTACATTTGTGCAAATTAATTGCCTGCCGTGTAGTCGAACACAAAGCTGAAAACACGAAGCAAAAATGAAAAACAGCCCACAGAGACTTTAAAATGATCAACTTTAGAAACATGAGACGGTAGAAAAAGAGGCAGCAGCCTGACTGCGCATTGGTTTGTTACCTGTTGAAGTTCAGGGTCTGGCTGCTGGGCTGGGGTCGGCATTCAGTCAGCTTTAAAATCACTCTGGATTTTTGGCTAGCTTAACGTTAGCATCCTGTCTGGCTAGCTCAATGTTAGCATGCTGTGTGCGGATACTTGGAAAGAGCTGAAGTTGTCCTAGCAGCATAATGCAGCTGTTTCTGTCCAAGATGCAGTTTCCACTTAACCATCGTGCTTTCGACCTTTTCAATCCATCAATTCTCTTCCATTTATCCTTATCAGGGTTTGCGGGGTTTCCGAGCTAGCATAGGGCAAGAGGAAGGTCGCCAGCCTGATGTAGGGCTAACATTGAAAGACAAAAAACAAAAACAAAAAGCAACCCAACAACATTCACTTGGGCAATTTAGAGTCACCCAAACCCACTAACTGCATGTCTTTAAACAGTGGGAGAAAGCAAGAGTATCCGCAGAGAACCCACGCAGACATGGGGAGAATATGCAAAGTCCACACAGTGCTTTGTCCTTTTGATACACAACAGGATGGATCCATGATCTCATCTAAATGTTGAGGTTGCAGGATAGTTTCTCTTTTTCAAACCGGTTGTTGTGAACCCTAGAGATGGTTGTGTTGGAAAATCCCAACAGATCTGCATTTTCCAAAATACTCAAAGCAGCCTGTCTGGCACCAACAACCATGCCAGATTTAGTTTCACTTAATTTCCCTTTCTTATGCTTTATTTGAACTTTAGTAGGTTGTCTCAGCAGTGTTTACATCAATTCAGTTGCTGCCATGTGATTGTCTGTTAAGATATTTGCATTGACAAATCAGCTGAACAGACGTATCAAACAACGTGTTTGTAGCTCCCCATAAAATTATCCTATGTTGTCTTTCAGGGTGGATTTGGTATGAGATACTTCTACCACCACTTCCACCTGAAACCCACCAGGTGTCCGAAAGGAACAACTGAGACTGACCCTCAGAGATGCCCCTACAGGAATGATCGAGTGAGCAAATATGTTTTTAAAAAAGGAGTGTTAACTTTACCATCTATCGAAGCATCAGCACCACTGTTATGCTCTTCATGTTGTCATTGCTCCACAGCCTCTGATGGATTGTGCAGTTTGCTACAAAACATCAGGAGAACAGATAGAAGCCCAACCCAACCCATACGTTCACTGTATCCAGAAACCGAGACTCACAGAGGTAATATTACTCATGTGTAATAAGCACATTTTGGGTTGTAAAAAAAAACATTGTTGTCCTTTTCTATGTTTTTGCTTTTGATGTTCTTCTGCTCTCTATTTTACTTTTAAAACTCTGGACATTTTTTAGCTTTCTGTGTAGTTTTCTACGTGTGAATAATATTCACACATTCATCTTTTTGTGTTCTTTCTTGATTCAGGAGATGAAGAAAGCCAGGTTGGATCACTACAAAAAAATGGTCTACCACAGTGGCGCTCCTACACTTTTGGCTGTGAAAACATAGATTCCCCATCGCAGCTCAAATATATCCAGAAAGCTATAAGGAAAGAAATCTGTAGTAACCATTAGTTAACTGGTTGCATGCATACTCCACTTTGATTATTATCATTCACTCACTCATTTGTGATAAACGTGTGAAAGAAGTGCTTTTTTCTTTTTGAACTCACTGCATTCCATGTGTGACATATAATAAAAAGAGGACAAACAGCTGTGTGTGTAATAAATTACCCAACCGTTGC